AGCAATGAATGAAAATAGAGGAGAAGGAAGGAGCCTTATAAGATGGCGAGGCAGCAGCTGCTAACCGAAGCAAAAGCCGGGCATAAATCTCCAATAAATCTTAAATACATATTGCGCTGCCTGTCCGGGCTCCACTTCTGGCCCAAGGAATACATATTATGCGAAAAGTATCGCTCAATCGTGCTATCTGGCACTATGAGAGCCTTCCCCCCACATAACACCTGCCATCCAGCCATCCAGCCAACCAGCCAGCCATCCAGCCATTTCTCTTCTATATCTGGGAGTGGGCACTGGGGTTTTATTGCGATATAATATTTTATTGTGTACCTTTAGATGTTTGGATATTTGGCTCGCTACATTTGAGTTTCAACTCTTTTGGGCCGCACTTTTTTGCTCCTCAAAATGTGTAAATTTGCCTGAGCCGTTTGTTGTGTTTTGTCACCGGAATTGCTTAGCTGTGCCGATTCCGGGGGATCGGAGGATGGAGGGGGTAGTGGAGGATTTTGACCCAGCAGTGGCTTTGGATTTTCGGTTATTTGTGCATTTGACAAAGGTAATAAAAGGGGCCTTTGGCTTTTGAAGCGACGACGACGCCTGCTTGTTGATTTTGTTGTTCTGTTTGCTCAGCTCAAAGCTATAAAATATATACAAATATATATATATATACATATACGGAAAATGTATTTTTATTTTATTTTGTTGTTGTTTGTTTACCTCATTTTTTGGGTGAGCAAACATGCGCTGGCATTTTCCGTTTCTGTTTGTGTTCTGTGTGCTTGAATGTGTTTGCTTCTAATTAAAATTAAAAGGTTTTTGTGGCTGACAACTGCGAGAAATTACAAATGTCAAGCACATATCTATAACTTAAAGCCTTGGCTTAAGGTGCAATTGTGGTGTATTGCACTCAATGATCCATTAGTTTAGCCAGTCAAGTCTTCAATCAGCCGAGATAGAAGCACAGAAGCAGGCAAAAAATTAGAGCTCATGTGGCACTGGATTCAAGAGGTTGTTGCAGCAACAAGTTGAAGCCACCTTGATTGCAATTAGTAGCATTCTCCGACTTTGTTGCCACCTTAATGAAATGAAAACAAAGTTGAAAAAACGGTAATGAAAACGGAGGAGCGAGGAGAAATTCAAGCCAAGTCTGCACTTCACAGCAACGTTTTGAGGAGGACTCGTTGACAAGGATCCCAGTCCACAAAGTCAACTTCTTAAGTTGTAAGCTTTGTTGTGCTTTGTGGGAATGGGTTAAATTTGCACAGCAGCTGTGCGGGACTATTTAGGTTTAAATATATAATTTGTACTGCTCAGACAATCAGATCACTTTCGCTGTTTCGCAGTGGAATACAGCAACTGATGTTTATATAACTTTTTGAACGTTAAATTAACAATATCGCAACAATTTTCTTTAAATTGCGAACAGGTTGAACTGGTTTTTGTCTCCAAACTTTTATTATATACTTTTCGTTAATATTTATTACATGAAGTCATAATAATTTCGAAGTAAAGTAACGTTATTATTTGGTTCTTAAAAAGTTGTTGAAAATGTTTGCTATAGATTTCTTAAATAGTTGGATAGGCAAGTATATCTAAATTTAATGTCTTTTCTTAATAATTGTTACTGTTTCATGTTTTAGTTATTTATATTTTATTCTTCTTAATTTCTCTTTAGATCTAATTATTTGTGATTAGGATAACATAAAAATGTTAACTGATTTCTCAATTGAAGTGCTAAGCTCTATTTAACTTGGCTTAAATCGTCTAAATGTGCCAAAGAAGCTGAAAATGATCATCAGAGGTGTTGGGGCGGCAGGGCTCCAAGCCATTTAACCTCGCTGCTTAACAACCAATAACAGTGTGAGCGACTTCATGCGATTTTGATTGCCAGATTCAATTGCCACTTGTTGGTGCAAGTATTACCCCAGAAAAAGCAATTGCTTAAAGTGAAAAGGGTGCGGATGATGCACGCACAAGTGCGCACCCCAAACAAAGTCTGCTTCTCATTTTGATTCAGATACGGATTCGGATTCGGATATGGATCCAGATTCCACCCCAAGCAATAATAACGCGAAATAAAGTAAATGCTGCTCACAAATTTCCAATTGAACGTAATGGTCGATGAGCGGAGGGGGCGATGAGCATAAAGGAATGCTCTTAACACTTTTGCTAAACCGACGGGGAATTCGTCTTGAAGAGTTTCGAGTCGGAGTCCCACAACAAATTAAAATTAATGCAGAGCCCGTGGCCAACGAGGAGCCGAGGTAGCAGTAGCAGATGTTGCAGTCGAAACTGGGCAAGTCATAAATTATTCAGGACACTTGTCAGCTCCAACTGGCAAGTATCAGCCAGCCAGGACTCGGATCTCTAGGAGGCAACATATGCCGGTGAAGGGGACTTCAAACTTAATCCGGCATAGATATCGGATGGGTTAAGTTGCAAATTAAATTTAATCGCATTTAAGCCTTGACCTTGTTAAAAACGGAAAGGCATTTCGCATGTTTTTATAATCCCCATAAATTGGATGCGTCCCATTGAACTCGGATTATCGCATTCGGTCAGAAGCAGCTTCACCTCATATTCTGCTGTGGGTGTTTTTTTTTGGGGGCTTCTTTTATTATTTCGGGTGTTGGTAATTAAATTTGTCATCACGCTCAGCTGGCAATTGGTCGTGGGTCAACGGTCATAAAAACTGACGCCCGAAAGTAGGCAACTAACTGAAGAGCGAACGAAAGCGAATTTCACCAACAAAGAGTCCGCTCTCTTACTTTCTCTTTGGCTTACTTTTAGCGGTTGGAGCTTTCGTCCCAAAGCTTGTTTGCATATTCCTGTAAAGCTCTTTTCTTCCGATTCTGTTCTTTTTATTCTGTTTTCTTTGCGTCACTGTTAATGATGCGTTAAATTTAAATGGCCATAACAATTAACGATAATTGCTTTCCAAGTTATTGTCTATAATGATATTTACAGTCCTTCGGAGGAGTTTCAAATGTTTGCATAGTTATGAATGCTGGTGTGCGTACATTTATAGCAGCCATTGTTCATTACCTCTTTATATTTAAATACAACTAATACTAATGCCGCGCTTTGTGGCAAGGCGGAGTGCACTTATACTTGTTGCCTTTCGATAAATAATATTTATTACAGTTTCGGTGGGTTTGAGGTACCATCTAATCCCCCCGCAAAACAAGGGATTGAATTACACCGCAATCGAAGTTCAAAACAAACTGAAACGATTGCAGTTTTTGAGGGTGGTCTCAGTCCTTCGGCAACGTTTATGAAAACTCTCCGCCCCTCTTTGCATTGGCGAATTCATTTCAATTCAATTGCCCGCCCACGCTTCGTATACGTAACACAATAAATTATCAAGGTACCAAAAAAGTCTGCATGTGGAAGGGCTCAACTTCGGTGGAGCATGGGGTTCCACCCCCCAGAAGGCAGCGTCAAAGGTTACTTTACGCCTCCTCCCCATTCAAAACACAATAAATACTGCAAGTGGGCGTTGGTTCTGTTCTGTTTGTTTGCCGGCTCTCGGCTCTTCGATATCAACAAGAAATTCAAATAAATGCATTTTAATGCCAGCTGCCTTAGCCGAGTGTGGATGCTTTAAAAGCTTTCAAATAGAATAATTTATTTCCCTCTCTGAAGGCGATTCTGTTGCGTGGGCGGTGGGTGGTGGGCGTAGTGGGCGTGGGCTGGAAATGGGTGGTGTGCCACCATCAATATCGCCGTACATTGATGTGTTAATTGCCGCAATTCCAAGGAGGCCAAGGAAACAGGCAATCAGATAGCACAGGGTTGCCTACTGCTCACTGGTCACATATTAATTATTTTTAATGGAGAAAAATAGGTAATGAAATACATCTATAGCTTGCCTGCTAAGCAGTAGAATATCTGACAAGACTTTATACCTAGGCTATTGTCTTTATAGAGCCTGACAACCCTGGGGGCAATTTCCGTTGCCTTGCATGCACCATCACCCTCAATAATTCTTACACATTTTGTGTAAAAGTATTTTCTTTTTCCTTTTTTTCTTCTCTCGCTTTCCTGAAACAATGCATTTTATCTTGGCTCTTACACATTTTATTTTTACTCTTTCTCGTTCAGCTTTGACATAAGAACACACACACAGTTTAACGTGAACACGCACATGGAAGCAGAGGCTGAGACGCTCACATATTGGGGTGAACCAAAGTCTGCATTCTAGCATTACCTGTATGCTATACATTATTATTTTAAATGTCTTCTGACTTAAAAAATAAAAAAGATGGCAGAAAAAACAAACTAAACCTTAAAGAACTCATCTTATTTTTCTCTTTCGTGATCTTACAAACAGAAATATTTATTCCCCATAAAAATAATCAACTTATTACTGACACCAATAAAATATATAACAAGTTTGGAATGCAGACTAGCTAATTTGAAGGCATGCCTCAGACACATTCCTTTTTTGTGCAACCCCAGAAGACGACTTGCAGGCAGTCTGCTTGCCGCCCCAGTATTTCCCGCCACCTTGGTTTCCGCACAGAATGCAAGTCGGTATGCATGCCTTTACTAGATACGATACTACAACTAAATACTTAATTTTGCTCTTTGCCGTTGCCTTTGATTCTTTTAATTTTCCATAGAATAAGGGACGTTGGATGGGGCTACTAATACAGATGTCTGCGTTGTCTGCCAGTACTTACGGCCTACGCACGCACACACCCTCAGTGGAGAAAGGGGGGAATGTGGGGGCGGGGTGTCTGGCTGACTGGAAGACAGCTGTTTGGAGCAATGGGTTCGATGCGACTGCAGAATAAGTCGGTCTTTCAACGCCAGCGGACGTTGTTTGTGCCTTATTTCCATCCCCCAGGCGGAATATTACTCATACGCCGCGTGGCGCGATCACTGGCGATGCGGAAGTGAAATTGTTTTTTGATTGAAATGTAAATAAGCAGAGCCTGCCAAAACAAATATCGTGTTTATCATTGAAAATATGTGAAAGTGCAGACCGCTGATTGACGCAGGCATCGGCGAGTGCAGCGCCATGACGTCTCTTTTAATAATTCTGTTTGGAGCACCATTATTATTTTCCGTCGAAATGAGAAATTTTGGATTTATCTGAAATATTAGGCTGAAACTAAACTCTCTGGGGAATATTTTAATGGCCTTTCATTGCGCTTTCAATTTTTATAAACGTTCGGTATTAAATTACCAAAAAAGAACAAATTTTGAAAGCAAATTGAAAGAAGGAAGCAAGACATCTTGAAAGGTTGACAAGCGGCGATTTGGTGCACACTGGTTGAGTAGCTTAGAAAATATTTATAAAATAAACTTTTTCGCACAATATATATATTTGTGTTCTAGACTCTTTTAAGGGAATACTATAGCTTCGAGCATACTCCAACCTTGGGACAGGCGATCATAGATCTGTTATTTTAAAAAATCAAAAAAATGCGATTTGTGTACATTTCATTGACTGGTTCGATTGTTTAGTCAGATGTTTTAGATAAATTACACATGCTACTGAGTAAACAAACATTCGGCATTGGTGCTACTCAAGTAATTAAACATTTAAGACAATCGAAAATCGTTTTCGAATTTCTTAATTTAACTGAGCTATAAAACAATCACATTTCTTCCGTCCACCAAACAATCAGAAATGCAGCCGAGAGTTTTCGAAATGCTTAAATTCTTGTTTGACACATTTTGACATAATGTTTTAAAAGCGAGACAGTTTCAGTGCTTAATGAATGATTTACTGACTGGGCTTCGTTCCAAATTTCGGAAATATTTATTTGGCATAATAGGGCTTGTAGTCTAAGCGACTTTGAATTTTACAAATAATATGCCTGTGAACCGTGCAGGTGTTTTATTTGTATTTTCACCGAATTTCGTTCGATTTTCATTTGGCAAACGCTAATGAACAAATCGCAGAATGCCCCCGAAGGGCATGCAGGTAATGTTTATCTCCACCCACTACCCAATGAGCTCACATTTAATACGTGGTCGGAGGTAAACACGCACACGAATCCTATCTGCCGATATGTCTAATAGGAAATTGGCCAGAAGCGGCTAGCTATTTGAGTTTACCTCTGTTCTCCAGATCTGGTGGTGTAGCGTAATACTAGAACGGCCGGACTTGTATAAAATAAACAGGCAAAGGTACAATAAATTGAGGCAAACTTATTTGTGTGTGTGTGCGGGCAACAAAAGTACAAGAAAACACAAATATCGAACACAATGGAAACAATAATGTGCGAAACGATTGGAAATGCGCCACAGTCGCTGACGCTGTCCCACCGACGTTGCCCTCTCTGTCTCTGTCTCAGTCTCAGTCTATATCTCTATATCTCTGGGCCAGTCCGGTCAGCGTCCGATTCTCAGTCAGAAGCAGCCGGCTAGCCGGAGGGCCAACAACAAGTAGCAGGCGCGAAATGGCAATCGATTGGCATTATCGAAACAGTCGCCTGAAATTTTAAAAACGTATCGAATATAATTTTTCTGTTTTGGTGGTTGTAAAGATATAAGTTGTGAAAAAATCGTGTAGGTAAAAGGATCACCACACGTTGCAAATCGTTTAGAATCATTGAAAGGGTCGGACAAGTTCTTAATGTCTCAGATTCCAAAGAGAATATTTTTTCAGTGCGGTACTGACAGTTTTTTATAATTTAATCGAAATAATCGTATAGAAATGCAAAGTTATCGATAATGATCTCCATAATTGTTGTGTTAATCACACAGTATTAAGAGTGCGGCAAGCTTATTAGGCTTTTGAAAATTCCAACGTTGTGTATCCGAGCAGGTGACAAGTGTTAAAGTGCAATGTGCTAATTATGTCACACAGGGCGTATGCGTGATGTTGAAAGCCAATAGCAAGTGAAAGCCAAAGTAAAAGGTGCAAACGGGAAACAGAAATTCGAAAAGAAGAAGGTGACAAGGAAAAGGTCTAACGGCCATACAATACTTGTTGAATTATTAGCTGTGCGAGTGTGTGTGTTTGAGTGCGATTGGGGAAACAAACAAATGTCAACTGCCAATGCCCCAAGAGTGTAAAAAGAAAGATGTGAAAAATACGAGCCGAGTCTCGAGGGAAATCCGTGAAAAAACGAAAATGAAGTGTCAGCGATTTGGGATGAAATTATCAATTGGCCAAGCTGCTGCTGAAATGTGATTTAGCCACCTGCCTGCGGGTAAGGTGTTCGTGTGCGTGTAGACAACAAAGGGAAATAATGTCATGCATTGGCTCGACGGAATTTCTTTGGATGACAATTTAATTAGCGGACGCGCCAGCGGCAGCAACGGCGACAACAGCGACGGCAATCAGCGGAAATCAACGCAGTCGAGCTCATCGCCCACCAAAGCAAGTAGGTTGCACCAATACCGCCGCATATACGTATGTACACCAACCAATCCCACCAACCCCAAGCTTTAATTCGTTGGCGTGAGCCACCCGAGCGTGTTTATTTGGCTTAGAGCGAGAGGAAAGCGCAAGCTGTATGTGTAATCTATATTCGCAAGGAGTATCAGTTGGAAACTAGCCAGACTTTTTGGAAACTCAGTTGTTAGTTCAATTCACTAAGGTATACTGGGCTTTTAAAAGGCTTACACCAATAAAAAAAATTACCTTTTAACATATAAAAACATGTTAGATACCTTGTCTATAATACAATATTAATCAGGAACACAAATTAATAATGCTTTTTGTTTAAACTGTTTTTTATACCCTTGCAGAGCCAAGGGTATTAAAATTTTGGCCAGAAGTTTGCAACGCAGTGAAGGAGACACCTTAGACCCCATAAAGTATATATATTCTTGATCAGCATCACCATCTGAATCCAAATACGTCTGTACGTCTGTCCGTCTGTCTGTCTGTCCGTTTCTGCCCAAACTAGTCTCTCAGTTTTAAAGCTATTTTGCTGAAACTTTCCCAAAAGGTGTGTAGTTAATGCACGCAGTATATAAGTCGGAACGGGCCGGATCGGGCGACTATATAGGATAGCTCCCATACAAGAGATTGAAATACAAAACTCTAACGCCGTTGTTTTTGATCAGATCGACTTGATTTCTTCCACATGGCGTTTTCTAGTTACTATTGAATTTCGGTTTAAATTTTATCGAAATCGGATAACTCTATCATATAGCTGCCATAGGAGAGATCGAATAATAGATATAGAATTAATGGAAATAAATTTGATAACGTCATTGTTTTTCATCACACGACTATGATTTTTTAAGTATCAAGTTTTTTAACTAGCCTTGGTTCATAAAGAAAATTTCATTAAAATCGGACAACTATATCGTATAGCTGCCATAGGAAGGATCGAAAAATCTATATAGAATTAACGGAAATAAAATGATAACATCGTTATTTCTCATCAGAAAATCATGATTTGAAATATAGAGTTTTCAAACGACTCTTAAATAACAAATAAAATTTCATCAAAATCGGACGACTATATCATATAGCTGCCATATGAACAATAGTCAAAAATATGAAAAAATTTGTGTAGTCTGCTCGAAATATTTGATGACTGCAAGGGTATATAAGCTTTGGCTTGCCGAAGCTAGCTTCCTTTCTTGTTTTTTTGTAAGTTCAATTGTTGGGGCAAACTACATTCAATCAAATTCAATTAGTTTGCTGTTTTCAATTGTTCGTCAAAATAAAAAGTTGCGGATGGTAAAATACTAACTAAGTTATAGTCAATTTGGCTCTTAATTCAGACAATTAAATACCAAATTGTATGTTCATAATGTAATTAAGGAAAATATTTGTGCTAGTGCCAACTACATTTATCTATGGCATATTTTTAATTTTGTCTTTTGCCTTTCTTTTCTAAAAATTGAATTCCGTATTTAAATTGAAATATTAAATTTGATAGCAAAAAACTTTAAACCAGAAAAAAATTAAACTGATTTTATTTGTATTTTTTTTTGGTTTTCTTTTTAGTTTTGTGTTTTGCTTTGAGTCAGGAAAAACAATTTGTTTTGCATACATTTGCTCGAAAAAGTTGAGGAGAGAAAGGCGCCGCAAGAAAAATGCACAAGTTTTTACGGGTCAAAAGCAAAAAGCACTATCTGAAAAATATATTCCAATTAGGCCATAAAATATACTTGAAAATCGATTTTACCCAATTACCCGATTTACTCAGCCTCCTTCCATCAGCGGGATTCCAGCCAAATTTGTCTTTCGCAGACGAAAAATGGAATTCAAACAAAGAGGTGGGGAAAATGGGTTGTATTCAATTTTAATTGGGCAGCAAATTATTCCAGCTATTGCCCCGCCTGTGTGTTTATCCGCGGGATGCTATAATTCAGATTCAATTATTAAAAACATATTCATCATTTAGTTCGAGCAATTAGCAATGAATGAAAGGCAAATAGAAAAATCGTTTGTACATCATTCTCGTTTCGATTTTATGCGGATGTGGCTCATTGAACTTGTTTGTGGGTGTTTTTAAAAATATATTCCATGAATCAATTCGGCGTTATGTTAACGATTTCCAAGCAAACTTGTGGGGGCAATTAAATGGGTCTTGCTTCCGTTACCTTGATCGTTCATCGATCATCGACTACGAATCGCCTGTATTTTTGACTTTTATTTTCCGCTCGGTATTTACCCCATTTTCCGAAAGCCTTCAATTAGCACAGCCCGATCATGTGGAATCGATTCGAATTGCTTGACGCATTGATTTTATTTTGGAAATAATTCGCAGCAAAAACAAATTGGAAAGTGTTGGTCGCTGTAAATCTCAGCAAAACGGAAAATTGCCGGCATATGGTAATTTAATTTGTAATTTATTGTTTACAAATTCCTTTTGGTTTCATTTTGTAGAGTTTCTTAAGACGCCGAAACATTACGATTTGTGGCTCGCTGTTAAAAATAGAAACAACTCTCTCACCTTTTTGGAACGACTGCAGATGACCTAGTAAAGCCACGAAGGCGCGTTGTTTGTCAGCATAAAAATCTCTGAGTGTCTAAATTTAATTAAGATTTAGACGTGTTCAATAAAAATAAATTAGTGCGGGAAAATGCACACACAGAATAAACACGATAAGTGGGTAATTCACTTTTGTTGATTGAATGATCTATATAACTGTCTATATAAACGTCTACATTTTTTTAAATCTAGCGAAAAATATTTTGATGCCAGAAAAATAATTCATTTGTCCCACATTTTTATAGGATCAGCAAACACATCTTTAATACAAACATCTAGATATTTATTAAAAACTCCACTAATTCGGTTTATTTTCATACAAATTTTATTTACTCAGCCTAATAAAAATTACTGAGTAGTCCAATTGAGAGTCTAAGAGTTTCTAATTACTTTCATATTAAACGTAGGACACACAATTCAAAATGTTCATCGATAAAAAAAATATATCTTTTTCTAAATTATTACTTATGTCAGAACTAAATAATTACATATCTCTATTTACCATTTGATAAAATTCTTTGCCAATATGGCATTTAAAACTGATATAATGCTTAATTTTTTAGTTATAGGTGTACTGCTAAATTGTTTTTGACTTAAAAATTTTTTTTATTTTTATTATATACCTATTTAATTAATTAATTAGGGCTGCTTATGCTTATGGCTTCAAAACAATTGAGTTTTTATTTTATGAAATGATTTCTTTAGATATATATACATACATACATCAAAATTTGATTGAATAAAACCTTGTGATATATTTTTGCTTCGACTTTAAGTAAAACACTCAGCAGATTAAATATGTTTATTTATTGATTTTATGTAAGCCTTGAGTCTGCGGAAAATACCAATAAAATTAAAAACAGAATGGCCCATTAAATTAAACCATTTCACCCCATTCCTTTCGTACTTCGCTCAGCGAATTAGAAAATTCATATGTTGGCCATTAGGAACTTTAACTGCTGTGGTCACACATCAAAAGTCGTGCCCCAACGAGTGCAGGGGCATTATGTGTATTTATGAAATCGTTCAGAGTTGGTCGAAAGATCCTCTCGTTCGTCTGGCATAAAAAGTGACCCACACACATTTGAACATTTGTATCAGCAGGAGGCACACTGCCCCATAATAGAACCATAAACTGCAACAGGCGGCGGCAAAAATAGACAGAAACTTGTTCATTTTGCTTATTTGTCCGAGAGTTTGCTTGTGCATTTTGTTTACTCGCCGCCCCCTGCCTCACGCATCATTTCTTTTTCCTCGCAGAGTCTCTCTGTATTTCCCAGTTTTGTTCTTTTTTTCTGTTCTATTTGGAGTCGTCTAGCCGGCACAGTGCTGATCCGTGATATGCTCCCCAAACAATAATAATTTTTGGTCAGTTCAACGAGTTAATTATAAAATCTTGTATAAAAGAAACAAACCGTACACAAATTTGTAATATGTTAACAAATGTCTTTCGTCATTTATTCAAATATAATGCCAACTGAGTATTATGTTTTTACATATTTTTTTTTTATTTTTTTGGTGGATAGACCTCTTGTAATGTATTCTTCCTTATTCGATGATTATTGTTTTTAAAACATAGTAATAAGATAGTGTTAGTATATTAATGTGTCTAAAAGAATTTTTAATTTAAATTTTTAACCTTATATATTTTTATGGTGGGGTGATCCACTTAAATTTTTGCTGTGCAGTTATATTCCAAACAATATACCAAGATATATTTCATTCACTTGCAAATAAAATTAATAAATTCTTCTTCAAAAATGTTGCTAACGGTTATGTGCCTATTCAAGTTCAGCACTTGGAATTCTGTAAACACAATCGATCGCATTTTTGGTATAAAATTCGAACGGAAGCCAATCCATTCTTATGGGATTGCCAGTGAACGTATTTATGAGTCCCACTGTCGGCAGACGGTTTAGCAGCTCACGCACATTCCGACAGTTTATTGGCATGCCGTATGCTGGCCCGCCCGAATGCACCGCCCCCCGTTCCCGTTATTCGCCCTCTGCCCCCCAACGGCACACACACATCGGAAGGAACAACAAATAAACTGTGGGTACGCAAAATATTTAACACGAAAACGCAGAACACACAAAATTCAATGCTGAAGCCAAGTGGTTGCAGTTCCCAGTCGCGTGCCTCGCAGACCACAACGTATCTGAATCCGTCCGAAGCAAGTATCTTGTATCTGGCAGTGCGTATCTTTCTGTCACCGGCGACCGCGCGTGGGTGCCGTGGCCAATATCCACCTCTCCCGCAGAACACATGTGTCCAAAAGTGCACCCCAAAGTCACCTAGTGATCATCTTTAATGCGAGATTGTGCTTAAGTATTCAAAATGAATTACCATAAATCGAACTGATATTTCAATGTGCGGCTGGGCTGGTTAATTGTGAATTGTCGGCGGCTATAAATTAAGCCTCAAAATAGCTCCTCATAAAAGTTAACACAAATATTTATGAGTTCTTATTACGATACGGAGTAAGTAAATAAGTGAAATAAAATCACTTTCTCTTTTGTTTATTCAAAATGTATACTTTTGCAAAAGATATGAAATTTGTGGAATTCGCAGTTTCTATCATGACTTGGCAGTTTATCATTCACGTATTTGAGTCTGTTGAATGGGATTAAAACGTTTGGAGAATCTTTTGGGAATCTTCCGTGAATCTTTCACCTTGATAAATTTACGACCCCAGCCATAAATTAGCTGGAAAGAATATATATATTCCATTATATGGGGTCCTGTGTGCCAGTTATGTAATGGACAAAGAAAATCCTTTCAATGCTACCCAAGAGAAAAGAAAAAGTCCCCAAGGGGAAGGGAATATGGGGTCGGGTTTTGGGGGAGGCCGTCAAGGAGCGAGGCTGAATTGTAACACATGTAAATATTAATGAAGGATGACAATGTGTACTTGACAACTTAATCGATAAATCAATTGCTATGCCAGATAATGCTCTACCCCTTTTGAATAAAAAAATGTGTGTTCCGCTACGGTTTTTTGTCTGGCCCTTTGTGGCGGCTTGATAAGGAGGTTGAGAGTGGGTGGTGCTCGGTGCGTGTGTAGCATACATCCTGGCGCTGGTACATTGTGTAACCGGCAACCCACAAACCATCCAGACAGCGTCGCCGCAAAAGCCATAAAGAACGGAATGTCATTGAACATCTAGATATTAAAACGGGAATCAGTATTCCACGCAGCAACCCGTCGAACCCAAGATTTTCAAGGTGCCACAAGACGTACTCTGAATTTTAAGGCCCTTATAAAAACATATTTTTCAAATAAGGAAAATATGTTTATGTTGATGAGGAAAAATTTAATACTAAACTAAGTAAAAACTTTGTAACAATGGGTTGGTAACACTTAAAATTGGACCAACTTTACAGTTTGATTAATTAAAACCATCGCTTTATTTTCCCAATATACCTGTTTACATTTTTCTCGCTTTGAAAAATGACATATTCATCTTCTGTTTTTATTTCCAAGTAAAACAAATTTTTGCATGGTTTCTGAGTCACTTTAATTGTGTCTGAAAGTGAGCGATTGTTAATGTCATAATATATTGAGAACCAAAGTTAGTTCTCCTGTAAATATAGAAAGATATGAATAAGCCTACCATTTTTTTTAAACTGCATAAAAAACCACCATATTAGTAGAACTTAACGCCGTAGCTTGTATGTATAAGTAACTATGTTACTATGATCATAAATACTTGGTTACATTGCAAATCTTAATTAAGTGTATTTTATCAGATAAGATTTGTATAATATGAATTTTTAGTGCGCCTGCCTACTCTGCTCGTATCTAAATAAACACGCTCTCAGTTATTTGTAAACATTGCGATCGAAGTAAAAGCAAACAAAACCATAATACAAATTTAAATCCAAAAAGCTAAAAGAAAACACACGAAAACAAAATCAATCCAGCACGAAAATAATTTTCCATTTTCATTATTGTGATTTTGTCTTTACCGCCCATTCTTTTATCTCTTTCCTCTTCTTTTCTGTGTTGTTTTGGTTTTGTCTACATTTTTGTTTTACTTTATGTGTATTTTGTTTTTTGTTTGTTGGTTTTTCTTTCACATGCGGGAAAACTAATGCACGACTATGCTCCGAGAACGAAGACGTCATGCACACTATAAGCTAAACAGCAGGTAATTCTGACTAAACATTTATATTACTAGCCGTAAGCTTTAGAATTAAGTTCATGTTCAAAAACCTCAATTGTTTTTCTTAAACCGATCAAAAATATAAGAGTACGAGCTTTTTAAAAAAGCTGTGGAAAAGCTATAGTAAAGCTAAGGAACTTTTATCCCGCTCTCTTATATTTTCAAAACTACGGAGCTTTAACGATCAGTGAAAGTTTTCTTATGGTTATACACTCTTAGCACTACAATTTTGGGAAAGTTACATTAAGCGAATAACGAAAAACCAATAACGAGTACCTGATGAACATACATGTATTTCCTCCATATGTTTATTAAACAAATACGAACAATGGGATATGCATATATTTATGACAGAAGAGTTTAATGAAGTCTAAAGTCTTTTCGAGGTGGTTTGGATCACTAATTGGATCGTAATCTCTTTGATCTTATATATAACTACACATTACTGTCTACTTTGCCAGTGCGAACCATAAATTATATTGACAAACAAAAATCTTCAGGTACTTTCTTAAATTACGCAAACTATTTCTTAAGCAAACAACTTTGCACAGTTTAGAGTCCAAGATTAAACTGCCAGCGTCAAATTTATGTCAAAATAAACAATAGATACAACGGCGGTAAATGACAGCAGCGATTAGCTTTGAAATAAATTGGCACGAGCTATGAAGTGGTGCGGGCTCTTTAAATTATATTTATGCTTCTGCCGTGTCTAGTTAACCTTTGCTAATTTTCTAATTGGCTGATAAACAGTCGGATTCGGACTCACACACATTTTTCATATACAAAAATATTATTTATTCGCAGTGAGGGCCACCACGTGCACTTTACATAATAAATAAACCTTAGAACAGATCAAGCCCATTGAGTGGGAAATATTTTTAAAATTTTGTGCGTAGAAAAGTGTATAGCTATAGCTGTCCAAGATTTAATGGGATCTGTGTGGGTGCCAGATATAGTTTTATTTAGGCTGCCAATGTCGCGACACATTTCACTAGAAGAGAGCATCCTGGCCGTGCAATTCATTCCAATTCGATCTCAATAAAAGAGCTGTTAATTTAATTGAAAATGTGGTTATTGTTAATTTACTCTGTCATCTGCTTACCGAAGAAATAAATTAATTTCTTCTACATTCAGTTACAACATTGCCAACACACAAAACCCATACCAATTTACCCATGAAATGCGATTAAGGGCTTGATTAATTTCCATTTATTTCCTATGTTATTAATACCCCTTCTGGTCCCAAAAAAATTGTGCAAACGGAAATTTCATTCAACAAATTAATTTTGCGAGTAAATATGGTCAACATGCTCAAGAGAGAAAAAAATTAATACAATATTGGCATAATTAGATGGATAATTGATTATGCCAGCAATTCGTGTTATTATTATTTTTTACCCCTAAGATGCAAAAAAGCAATGTTTTTGTAATTGTTACGGGCTTTTTGTCAATAAATTATAATTTTAATAAAGAATACACTCTTAGCCAATCTCTTTAATTTTCCGCCGATAACAATACTAATATATTTACATGTTTAATTCAATTAATTCAAAGATACAAATTTAGTCAATAAATTGAAAATTTCCCGTAGCTAACATAAATAATAGCATTAAGTTTAGTTTTTAATTACTTTTATGCCTCTTAACAAAATTGCTGAGTTTTTGAATTAATTACAAAATATATAGTATATTTATGAAACCAATTAAAACGCCAGGGGATTACAAGATTATTTGAAATATTGTATGGTGTTTGCTTTTGGTGGTACAAACTTGTACAAGAGTATCTAAAGTTCGTTGTCCTTGGCATTTGTTGCCCCTTCAGCTTTTTGCTCTCTTTGTTGGTTAGATTGGAGGGGCTTTTGTTAATCTTATAAACGAATTCTCGACACAGCATGGGCACGTTTCATTGAGAACGATGATTTGTTGTTCCTTCGATTTACTCGCACAAATTTGCTTTATGAAACTTTTTAGCTTTGTTCGCTTTTCATTTTCATTTTTAATTTTTCTTTTAATTTGTATAAAAATTGATGCAGACAAAGCTTGTTGCTCTTGGCGGCGTTCAATGCCAGTCGTCGGCGTTTGTTGTTCTAGTCGCTTTATTATTTGGCCAAAACTGATCTCGCCTAACTGTCAGTTTTCGGTTTATAGTCGACTGGTGCGGTTTTGCTGCGGTGAAATTGCCTTCTTGTTCGCACATTTTTCAAATTGTCACGCGGCTAGTTGGGAACAAAGTCTATAATTAATTATTAAAATTGAAGTGATTTCGTTGTGGCAGTGAAAATTTCGTCGATGATTGCATAAATTTGATAAAATCTCAAGAAGTGTGTCCTGTGAATAGTTTTTGTTTATTAAATAAATGAAAGGCGCTAAGACAACTCGGACTCAATATGAAAGAAGCAAGAGCAAGAGCAACAAGCGCTCGGAAAAGTCGGCGAAGTAAGCGAAAAACGTAGTGAAATTTGTATTCTTCATTTTCGAATGCCTGGTCAAATGCACTTTAATTTCGGGCACGAGCATCTGGCTCTCAAATATTATTAAAACTCATTAACATTTTTCTAATATCCATACACTTTGGTAGTCGTAAAATAAACAATATTCGCTTATGGCCAGACGAACTAAAAATAATTCCAGTTTGTTTATCATCGGTTCGTATACATTGTCCAACAAGATTTTACACTGCAAAGTTGTATACAAAGCTCGCTAAAAATGTTTACTCATGCAAATCTATCTACAATCTGTATATTTTTCTTAGTGCTCGTGTATAGTGGCCTCAGTGTATGTAGGCATCAATAAAACTGCCATAGTTAGCTTTCCTATCGATCATCAGTTTATCGATTTTATTGTTTAATATATTTAGAACAATCGTGACGCTACAAAAGTGTTTTTTGTGTACATTGCAAAACCAAGATATAGAATAAAGAAACCAGGGCTGAATTAACTAAACGAACCAAAAGATATATATAGTATAATCTTTGAACCAGAACCATTTTCTGAACATTTGAAAATCTATCCATTTGATTAAAATGTATGTAAATTTCTTTACCAGTACTTTTAATCGAGAACCGAATCTGGTTATGTTAATTTTTTTTTTTAAATGGGTTTTTCTTAAATTTAAAATTAAAACAGAGTGGATATTAGTGTGTTATTTGATAAATATTTGCAATGTTTTATCACAAAACATTAAGATTTAGCTGTAAAGGTAATAAAAGCTTGTGGAAGTCCTTTTTTTATTTTAGCAGAAAACACCACCTGTTTTTAGATGTATTTTGTTGGTCTAGAGGGTTTTCTAAAAAATTAAAATAAAAGTTCTGGGTCTGTTAAATAACAATACCACACCAACCAAAGCTTTCCCAGATTTTCTTAGATGTCGCGTTTCGTCACTAAGTGGACATGATGACCGATACAAAATGTTTCTTATTACACACTGCCTGGAAAAGCATAAAAAATATTTGACAAATTCTAAGATACAGCTGAATCCTGCTTTTCAATAATATATGTACCTATCTATGTATAATGATTTTGCGGGGAACTAATAATTAATGGAATCAAATCTTTAAAATAAAAAACAAAATTTGGCAACAGTTTAAGCCAATTTGTTGTTTATATTCATATATATGTACACTACAGACATTATATAGATTTTTTTGCAATAAATTGTGTTATCTTAACTATTGTAAATCGTTTGTTCTTCGTGCAATATACAAAGTGTCAATATTGACACGTCCGTCTTTTTTTGTTTGGTGAAATTATATTGTACTAAAACTAGAGAAATAGAGAAACCACAATTTAATTATCTAAAAATTTACCTTTTAATAGTTAGAAGTGCGGATTAAAAATTAATTTTTTATTTTTGTAAATGCCTTGAAGCCTTACCTTATTATATTTTTTTGATAAAACCCAGATATCCAATAGTATAGATTTATAAGCTTTCCACATAAACCACTGAACTTTACAAATGAAAAATACCTGCCAAGTTTTTAAACGATCGAACTAAGGATTGCTAATTTATTATTGGCGCCTAAGAGACTGCTACACAATTACCCATTGCTCAGCAATATTTGTCGAGAGAGCGTTGAGTTCTGTGTTTGAAAAAGTATTTAAAACTTGAACTTATTTCAATAAGACAAAATAAATGCCACTTGTCCGAGTTAAGCGTGGCGGAAAATATTTAAAGACAAAAAGTCTTGACGCCATATAAATATGAGGGGATGTTTTCTCTTTTACGCATTCCACAATCCGTTTGGAGACAATCGCCCAGACGAGATGTGTTCGTATGTATGTTTAAATATATGTAGGTGCTTGTGTTCATTAATATTTATTTATGCAAGCATTTGCGATGGCTCTAAGAGCTGGATCTCTCTAGCGATCGGCAGTTTGTCAAAAATTCTTAACGCAGACAGAAGTGTCAAATCGTTTGGTATAAAAAACGTAAGTTATGGAAAATTTGCAAAGAATCCCATTTTATGGATCATTTGGGATTTGAATAGATCCTTTGGATGCTTAATTTAATTTGCGGAGAAGAATAAGTGCGTTAAAAAGTCAACGGAAACTTTGGAATACTCTTTTTGAAGAATCCCATTCATATTTATTTTCTTTAAAAATTCTGGATAAATCTTCCCTTACTTTTTTACGTATGCCAACAGCCGTTGATTGGAACAAATAATTTATTTATGCTTCGTAGCTGTAATTTATAGCTCTGCTGTGCTTATTTTCCTCTTCCTTGGTGTTTTTTCCTTAGCACCACCTCTGAGCGCACAAAATCGGTGATATATTTATATTTATTTTTTCTACAACGCTGCTTTTTTATTATTATTTATTTATACGTGGCGAGTGTTGAAAGGCCGCGGCCATATAGTCGAAGAGAACGACTAACAATTGGTACCAATGCTGGACCTATCCGGTTCAGTTGACTTACAGCATTCGTCGAAGAACGACCCGCATTTTTTAGGGATTTGATATTTTTTGTAAAGAAAGTTGCCTAAGAGTTTGTAATGTTGATTGGCCGTTGCCGTTCGCCATGGGATCCGTTTAGCACTCGAAGGCAAATACTATTTTAAGTTATGGATTTTAAAACGTTTCAAGAAAATAACAAGTTTGTTTAAACCCTTTCAGATTGGACAGAAAGTCATCGCGGGGCATGATATACGAAAATGAGGAGCTCAGGCTGCGCACCATTAATATTAATGCAGAAGTGGAACGAGGTACGGCCAAATGTGATAATAACCGATCAAAAGCTGGCCCAGTAATGCGCCATTAAATTGAACATAACGCAACAAACAGGAAATCAAATAATCGTTAAATAAATGGCCCAAAAAACAACGTGAAAACAGCCAATTAAAAAGACATTAGACGGTGGCTAGGAAACCAAAATATTCCTACAGAATATAGCTAAGCACATACATCTACACGCACCTACTCGTACATAAATATCTACCCACCTCTTCAGATATATCTGTCGAAATATTCATTAAGAATGTTTTCATTGCCAAAACAGAAGATAAGCGAATGTAAACATTGCGATTTGAGGTGTCTAAAGGTCTGACAGCTCTGCGTGATGTCCACGTGCTGCTCTTTAGACTTGGTCAAATCCTGTTCAGAGTTTTCCATCCCAGGCTGTTTCCTGGGTTCTTAAAAGTGGAACACTAATACATATCATTTTTCTTGCAGGGCAATCGGACATCAAGCGCCTGCGGCGGGAAAACGAGCAACTGCGTCGGGAAATCTGGACTTTGCGGGATGAGTGCGATAGACTCAACAAACGCTTTAAGGCCAAGCTCAGCGAGCACGAGTTCGGGGGATGCAGGGGCAGCGGGGGGAGTGGCGGCACCTGTCACGGATACCGCTGTAGCGGCGGAGGCGGTGGGCGTGGGAGCGGCGGTTGTGATGTAAACAGTGATGTAAGTAATACCAACCATGGTAAATAATTCAAATGGCTTAGCTTTAAATTGTCTAAAGTCTAGGTCTAGGTTTTCCTAAGGAAAAATCTTTCAATAAAATTTATTATTGATTATATTATTCCTAAGTCAATATTTTCTTATATGGTCATAGAAATATAACATTTTTTGGCCTTAGTTCTTTATCATATTGTTTCAATGTTTATCAATGTTAATCATATTGTTCAAAATTGTTAAATTTCAAGAAAAAAGAAAATGGTAAAAAAGAATTTGCTTTAGTAAAGCTGAAAATACGGTATACACTTTAAGCTTTAAAACATTTATTTATTTACATTTACTAATTTTTGTTGAGTGTCCATTTTGGTCGTGAACGTGCAACAGCAATCTTATATTTGGTTATAAATTATGTCATTGAGACAAAAACTAATAATGTTTATATTTTAACCAAAGCATTGTCAAATTTATTTCATGTATGTACTTTAAAACTAATAAGATTTTTACTTCGGCAGGACTCTGACTCATGTGATACGTGTCGGGGGGCGGATGATGGCCACTGCAGCGACGAGTGTTGCCAGGAGGGTGGTTCCTGCGCGCCGCCCAAGCCGCCACTTCCGCCGGAGGTTCCCAGCCATCCATCTCCATCCAAGAACGAAGAGAACGGCGGCCAGAACAAGGAGCAGCAGCCCATGCACTTCGATCACCTCTCCGTGGTTTCCGAGGAGACGCTGAGTAATCCGGAGCTGATGCTCGCCCAGCAGCAGGAGCACCTGACGATCTGCCCGCCAGACCCCAACGGATCGCAGAGCACCCTCCCCAGCATCATGGGTCCGCTCACCCCGCTGACGCCCATCGAACTGGTGGCCAACCAGCTGAACGACCTGCAGGCGATGGTGCCCCCATTGTCCTACTTCGAGAATATCCTGACGCAGCATATGGGCGCACGAAATGCGGGTGAGAAGATCTTTTTATCCATTTAAATTAATTTGAATTTTAAAAACTTGAATGAAACTGAATGAATGGAAATTAAAAGAGTTCTTAATAGCTCATAAAAAAATTGCGTTGAAATATGTCTGTATGTTCATAATTTAAAACAGAATTGAAAAACCTTATAAAAAACTTTTTAGGCATAAAAATTGGTTTATGAAAGGGGGCTTAAAGTATTAACAAAAAAGTTGTTTAACGATAATCAATAATTAATTTATAATTTATTAATGCAGTTAAACGCCTGTAACCAAAATCATTCACATCAAATGCAATTAAAATAATCAACTTTTTAACCTGAACTGTTAAACTTTCCTGTTTTCAGACTGTAACATATTATAATTTACTTGGTTTATGTTCTCCACCAATTAATACTACTTAAAAACTAACTATCTAAATTACTTGCAGCCCAAACCCCATCGCCGGAGTTGGGGACCAGCTCGAGCACCACCACGGGAAAGACAATGCGCCACACGAACGGGTGGGACTACAACCTGCAGTCGCCCTTCACTCAGCGCAAGTACTCAGAGCTCTCGTCACCGTCCCGCTCGCCACCGCCACCGGTGAGCACGATGACCACCTTCGTGCCCACGTCCACCATGCAGACGATGCCCAGGATCGCCCTGAATGCGCCGCCGCAGCATCCGGAAGGTGGCGACATCGAAACGGTGGCCATCACCACGAATGCCACGCAACACGCACTCCACAGTCCCAAGCACTTCTTTGCGCCGATCAAGCCGCGTTTGAAGCTCAACACCAAGTTGGCCAACCAGGGACAGGATCAGGAACAGGAGGACCTTCCGCCGGGCTCCCCGCCGCCGCCACTAAGAGATCCTCCAGATATTTTCGTAAACAACGCCCTGGCATCACCTTATCAGCGACGGGTCTCCCCACAAGTAAGTCCTCGTCACCGGCGCTCTACGCACTCGCATTGCCACGCCCACAGCCACCAGCGGAGCCGGCCACGCCCACAACCATCCCACTGCTCTTTGCACCGGGCGGTGGTGGATGTGGCCGCTGCCGTTGGCCTGGGGGAGGTGGGTCCGCACCCGGGGTCCAGTGTCCTGGACATTTACACCGCCGCGCTGGCGGCAGCAGCCGCAGCCAGGTGCTCGCCGCTTCCGACGGCCAGGTCCGCGGAACCCATCTATGCCACAGCACAAAAGCCCGGCCAGAGCACGTGCATCTCGGCCACGGCTTTCACTCAGCCGGTGATGACCATCACCACCCATTCCAACAAGACCACCACTTCGCCACTGAGATTGGCCCACAAATCGAGGGCCGTTGGGGAGGCCAAGAGGGTGGTCAAGTCCGCGGAGAACGTCAGTCAGGTGAGGGATCCTCTGGCCAGCAGACGATCATCCTCGTGTCATAGTCATTTCAATCCACTTTTGACTATAGTTTACTTCAGATTGGTTTCTATTCACGGTTCAATGTTACTTATTTGTTTCATGTTAAACAGGCAAAGTCTGCCTTTTTGTTCCTTATAGATCATTGTGGTTTTTTACTTGTCCTCTACTCTTTTTATCAATTTAGTGTGCAGAATATTAAGATTTCGGTTCCCTCTTAAATGTATCCTTCTTATTCAATTATCCTGTTGGTATTGTGTTGTATGAATATATATTAGACGCTTAGGTAATTGGGTTGTAATGTAAATAGTCACTGTTTTTATTATAAAATACCCAATTGCAACGTTTAGTCTGCCCATCAATGAATTTAATATTATGTTTTAAACAAGAATAAGATCTTACTTCATTTTTAGTATCCATTGGGAAGTTATTTTATTTAGTTTACTAAGTATAACATTGTGTCATTGCCCAAAAAAAATGTTTTAGATACCTGCTGAAGTCGTTAATAAAATAGTCGATGTTTACATTCGAAATTCATAAAGAAATCACTATCCCTCTTCATTTGCCAAAACAATTATAAGTAGCAATAAAACGGTTACATTTTTATTATGCATAGCTACATAATTGTTTAAGTTCGATAAATTTAAATAAATTTATAAATAAAAAAATTTCTTTCCCACCTAAGTAATTGGCCTATTATGAGCACACCCGATTTCAATGCATTGCACAGCCTATACATCGACTTATTTATTTATTGTTACATATTCAAAACTAATGTCTTAAATTACCCGCAGACGGATTCGGCCAATTTGGAGTCGATTTTGAACGACATCGAGACTATTTCGGAGGACATATTGGCCATTCAGCTGGAGAAGAGCAAGTCGCGTGACAACCTGAGCAACAACAAAAACAAGGACGACGATCGGGCGAAGAAACCGTATCGCTCCGAGATGAATCTATATCTGCAGTACGATGGCACAAATCCGACCATTTCACCCGCCGCAACGGAAACGGAAGTGGGAACGGCCACGCCGGCGGTGACCTCGTCCAGTGAGTCGGGAAACAGTGGGAGCACCAAGCTAGTGAGACGCACCAGATCCTTGGAGAGGGAGCACACCAACAGTCCTGCACCTACCATTCCGGATCCCATGGCTCCGTTTCCCGACAAGTGCACCTACCTGGGATTCGACCAGGTGAATCAGGCGGCAAACAGTGCAGGAGCGCCTCCCCAGTCGCCAAACGGCCCAAGGCCACCCATTGCTGCCAAGCCGAATGTGCCGCTCAAGCCACCGCCACCGCTGCCGCCCGCCCGCAGGCCAACCATGCCCACTGAGCCTCCGCCCCCGCCGCCCACCACTTCCGCATCCGGAGTAATCGGCGTCGCGCCCAACAAGAGTCACCTGTACAAGTCACTCGCCTCGGCGGCGGCCAAGAGGGCCATCTTTCGCTCCTCGCCATCCCAGCTCACCAGGTCCTTGGACGTGGATCTGACGGGAGCGGAGGGAGAGGCAGGCGCGGACCAGGCAGCTGCTGCAAATGTGAGTACGGAAAACAGGGTAAATGTAAAGTCAACATAAGTAAAGATACAGTTAAGCCCCTTACATCCATTTAGCAATTTTCTTGTGAATATTAATTTGAGAGGTTTTGCAAAAATATCTTTAGAAGTTTTCAAATTAATAGTTTTAAAATAGTATTTAAGAAGAAATAAATTTAAGAGTGAAATACCAGTAAAATAAGAGTATCAGAAGTAATTTGATATTTTTAATGTATGTAAATCGAAATGGCAAATTGTCTTTTATTATGTTATTACCTTTTTAAGCGGGGTTTTCTCCTAATTGATTTTAACCCCATAATTAATTAGGAATGGAGTTATAAATCTTTCAAACAATAAGTTAAAATGTATACTAAAAAAATATTTTTAAGAAGCCACAACAAGTAATGTCATAGTCATGAAATGTATGAAGTATTTTTTATATGTATTTATAAATCAAAATAATTAGTTTTCTTTCATCATTACAGTCATTTTTGGAGAGGGGTTTGCCTGATTGAATTTAACTTTAAGTAAAATTCTGAATTCATCTGATTTCGATTTTTCACCCATTAATAATTTAAGCAATGCTAACAAGGGTATACTTTAAAATACTTACTTTTGACTCTGAAATCACTAACCTCACCTTTCAAAACGCCCCTTTCAGATGGACGAATTGGCGCGGCGAAAGGCGCGACGTGTGTCTATCGTCTGTGGATCCGGTCAAGTGGCCCAGCAGGAGGAGGTGTCGACGCCAGTTGCGACATTGCCCACGGCCACCGCCAGCTGCGTGGACCTGAGCACGGTGCTCACCCACCCGAGCATCAAGGCCTTCAAGATGAGTCACAGCACCCCAAACTCGCCGCATTCCTCGCGTCGTCGCACCAACAGCAACTCCATGGCACCTCCGCCGGGGGCGCCTACGGGTGGTGGGGGACACGCCGAGCTTGGATCCACAGCATCGGCACCGCCAAGCACCACCCACCATCACCACCATCGCAAGGAGGGCAGCGATCCGGTTCCCATGACAGCCACTGTCAGTCGAACGAAATGCTCAAGGCGCCACTCCGAGGGCACCGTTCACACCGCTCACCGGAACAGTTCCGCCAGCGGAGGAGGAGGAGGAGGCGGTCACCACCACCACCACAGCCACCACCACCCACACAGCGGGATGGTGATCAGCAGCAACCCGCACCACAGCCACCATTCCCACCAGGACAGCAACCACGAGACGGTCACCTCGCTGTCCGATCGCAACTCCAACAGCTTCGCCTCCTCCAGAGAATCCTCCACGAGCTTCAGCATGCGCTCCAACCGCCGGAAGATCTCTGTCAGCTCCCACACGGGCGGCAAGATCCCGTGGTGCGGCTGCTGGGGCAACGGGTGCCTGTAGATTGAGGGAGAGCCATCCCATCTACCGTCCAGGAACCAAACTCAGTATAGTTCACTTGGCTGCTGCTCAACTAGTTTAACCAATCAATTACAATTAAGAACTTTTGTTTAAAAAGACTTGCCAAAAATAAAACTGAATGCATTTCTACATTTCCGAAAATAATGATAGCGAATGAAAACAGTCAAAAGAAGTTATTTTTGCTTCGAGAATAAAATAAGAAAAATGTTATGTAGTTGGTTTTAATTTTACAAATCGGTAATGCAAGCCTGACAAATAAAATAAAAATTGCTACCCAGTTAATTAAATTAAAAAAATGATATATGTGAGTTAAATTAATTTATTGTTGTCAGGCTGTTTTTAAAAATATTCAGTTGTAATGAATTTAAAATTGAAACTGCAGTCAAGTGAACGTTGCTGTATTCCATTAATAAGTGTAAATTTCTAGATATTTATGTATCCAATTTACGTGTTTGTATATGGCTTATTAGGTGTAGACCCACTCAAATAGGCAGCCAGTATTTTGTTTATAGAAACAAGGTACAAAAAGAGTTTTCAAAGTTTAAATTATAACCAACTAAAACTGAAATTATTCCCTAACTTTGTTGTACATATTTTAATAGACACCACTAAGTTGTAGCATTTAGACGATGGTCTCGAAAAAAGAAATAATGTAAATTCTATGAACAAACCTTTGTTATAATTGTTGCTGAATTCGAAGAGAATACAAATCAGAAATATAAAATAGAAAATAACTGATTGTTTTACCTGATTGACATACAATTCTGTTCAGGATCAAAATACGTGTCTGGTTGATGCATTTCGACACCATATCGCGTTCAAAAACGCTCGCCGTCCTTATAATTCGAAAATTACAATATAGATTGTAAAGTTGCCTTTTATAAGCTCTGGTTCTCGATGTTAATTCTTCGTGGCATAACTTTTTCAGCAAAATTTCATTTCACGCTTGTTAGCCGCTCTAAAGTTCCACTCGACGCGGGGATCCGCTGACTTTAACGCCGAAGAGGGCCGAGATAAAAGGACATGATGGGCGGCGGGCAGGAAGCGCTGGCTGCAACTGCAACTGAAATTGCGCAACAAGCGAAAATATACAATATGCAAATTAGCCGCAAATTAAGGTGTAAAAATGCATGACACACAAAACGCCTCTAGGATATATGCAGGAAACAAATTAAATTTTCTCCATGTACCAGTGCAAATTGCGGTTGCAGTGCAAGGCGTGAAGGTGATGGGAACGTGGTTAAAAAAATAGAAAACCCAGGTCAGCGGCCACCGCAGTGCGCCAGAAAATGTAACCCAGCCGAGGGCCAGAGCACAGTTTATTGTAGTCCCCGTACAATGCATCCTTTATCTGAAGGACACTGGACTCCATCATGGCCAGCTGCCAATCAATTGTGCGGCACTTGAATTCATTTTAGAAATAGCAGAGCTTATGGCATCTTCGTTTAATTGATTGGCTGCCAACTTTTGCCAGATTGCCGCGAGTTTTATTTTATTGCTGTATTTGTCTTGGCTATTAACTGCTGCCAGATGCACCCCAATCCCCTTGTTTATCCCCGAAAGACACGAAAAATCAATTTGTAATCATTATGAGTTGGTTTATTTGCCAATGAAAAATCATATGGCAACCAAGAAGCCAATTGGTTCTTAAGTGCTTCACATAAACTATCAACCCAAACATTTACAGCAAATAAAATTTGGAAAAGAAATTTCGGTCATAAGATTATGAGACTTATGCGATGCCGATTGCGATTTCACATCCAATAGAAACTATATTTAACCTGTATTACCGACACCTACCATTTTGAAGAAACTTTAAAGCGCATCAAGAAACGGATTCTCTACGAGTTTGCAGTGCTAAATTTGGGAGTGTGAATACGGAGATAACATCACACCTTGCTCCTTTAAACATTATTGTGGTCGGTCAATAATCAACACCATTTGCTTAGTTTGACAACATTTCTAACCTCTGTAATCAATAACAAGTCAATGTCAACATTTAACAGCACGCCGAATTCAAATACATTTAATACCCCAAAAATGTATTTCTGTATGCTTAATAGATATGTCCGAAGCCTGCAGACATTGACTAAATACTTTTTCATTTAAGAAAACTTTGGTTTGCCGTCCTTTAATTTTATAACTCAACTTTCTTGTTAAAGAGTAGACGAAATAACAACGAACTGACTGAGTCTGACTTAATTGGTTTATTAAATTTGTAACTGTTTTGTTGTTAATGAGGAAACTTTTTCCACACCGAGTCATAAAAAGGGTGAATTCCAGGGACCAAGCGACTCTGACTGACAGGTATCCCAGCTACGCTCCTTTGATTTATACGCCCAACATACGCGCTCATACTTATTTTATGGCTCCTGTTTAGTTTCCGTTGCGATGTGGCGTGGCTTGGCGCCTTCAATGAGCTGTGTCTGCACATATTTCTCAATCATTTCGAGTTTTCAGACAAAACCGTACAGTTCCATGTGCCGAGATATACATATGAGTTTTTATGACGCTGGTTGCTTGCTGTTGTTGCGGGGGAAATGTCTACTGCCTTTATTACCATAAATTCTGTCGCTGTTCTGCCAAAGACTCCGAACCCCACAAACCTCCAAACCCGCTCATTTCTTTCGCTCAAGAGCGCTTCATTGTTTTGGTCGCCGAGCTTTGACGTATTAACAATTTGTCAAGCGAAATTTAGCAGCTGGATAAAAATCAATGCATGGTAACTAATTACTTGTTTGCTGAAAATGTCTTCATTGCTCAGCCACATTTACTGTACACTGAAATATCTTATCTTTAAAAATAATTTATTAAAATTTTATTTGTTATGCGTTTTTTTTAAATAAAGTATAAAATATTATTATTATTTTAATAATATATTCATTTCCCTAAACATTGCATATACTTTAACATACAAGAATTAATAATAAATACATTTTCTATTCAATACTTTTGGTTTTTTTAAATTATTTGACAGGTGATAGTTATAGTATATGGTTAAATACAAAGCTTTTTAAAAATATTTCGCAATTTAGATATTTCTGCAACAATTAAACGATTTAAAGAGCGCATTTTATCAGAGTGCATCTGCTGATTACTCTTTTGCAGCAGATGTGGCACGCCCCAAACTGATGTCGTCCGATCCAGCTGGCGCTGCTTTGTTTGCCCGCATTAACTGAGTGGACATCCCATCCCATCCGGTGGGCATCCACAGATGTCCCGGCTCTGGGGAGCTGCTAAAAATTGCAACTAGCTACTGATGACGTCCCTGGCGATGGTATGCCCGTTCCCACATGAGCTGCAAGGAAGCATCTGCTGGCGCAGCACTTTTTCCTCTTTGAGCCAAACACTCACTTTGATCATTTTTCATTTTCCAAAGCGACACATGAGCTCTACCAACCCATCTAGCAGGATGTCTGCAGCTGGATTCCGGGATTCCTGGACGTGCACGGGTGCGGGTGCTCGGGTGACAGCGTCGGACTTGCGTGATATTTTTATTAAGAAATATATCAAATGCACATAATGCACACATTCCCAGCTGCCATATATAACCCGCCGGAGCCTTGGGTACTAGCCAAATGACACTTTATTATTATTTTCATTGTTATGCGGGATTCTATTAAATTAAGCCTTAAATACGATGATTGAGCAGAGCACATCGTTCGGATTCAGTCACCTCTTGCCGGCAGAAATTCTAACTTCAGAGCTGGGAGTCGCAAATTTATTCATACGAGTCGCGGTTCACGTCAAGCGTTAAGTTAAGTTAAGTGACCTTTCGAATGCCTAACAAGCCAGGTTCCTCGTCCCGCTTGAGCCTTTGTTGTTCACTGAATTTGCATAATCGCGTGAAGCGTATTTGTAAAATAAAAACGAAGCAACGTAAATGCGGAAAATGTCAGGAATTACACATGATGTCGGGCACTTCGTGGAAGTCCTGGGTCAATGCGCAGGATTCGTGTGCTAAGCCATGGGCAAGCACCGAGAAAAAAAAAAAATTGAAAAATAACAATGTCTTAAGAATTCACAAAATATTTCTTGATACCAAGAAAACATACACATCTATCTTATTAATAAATTAAATAGCGCTTAATTGCTGACATGTAAAAGAGTGCAGTTTAATATTCATTCAACTTAATATGCATTTTTTAAAGTGCCTTTTTTACCGTTATGGAGGCGGCTGAGCAGGTTAAGAGTGCCTCTGAATAATTTGCATTTAACATGCGCGACATGAAAACCAAATAAACAATGCTTTTGCCTCCTCCCTTCTTAGCCGAGGGGCAATTTGTCAGCTGCTTACTGGTCGCCAGAAAGTACGCCTGTTTCCTTCTAGTGATTTGTTGCACTCGTTTTTCATTTGACTAAATGCTGCAAATGATGCGATTCGGTATGTGGAATGCCCCCGTTTCCTGTCCACTGTCCACGCTGCGTATGCTTAATCTGGCCGAGCTGAAATAACTTTCGCCTGGCTGTTAGTTATGAGTTATAGCCAGTGCAAAGGGACGTATAAAAACAGAATTAACATAATTTAGTTGTGAGCAGGACAGGCTGTCCGCTCTTCCCGAAGCAAATATATTGTAAAACTTTTGCGGAGAAGAAAATATATTGATAAGGCCACAGCTGAAAGTCAATAAGGCGAGCGAGAAACTTTTCCCATCCAACCGATGATCATCATTTCTTGTATATACACTCCTCTCAACTAAACACATGTGATTGGGCAGAGAAGATAGAGTGAAAACTTGATTAATATTAATGTTAGTTCAGAGCTCCGATATAACTACCAAAGAAGTCCATATTATAATGGCAGATAAAACAATATCAAAATATTAGTTGTAATAAGTTTGTTTAAAAAATAAATAATAGTTTTACTTATTGAAAACATATACATAGGTTTTTTATTTATTTTTGTTAATAATGTATTATTATATCCTTAAATATCAAAATTAATTTTCGATTTTTTCATTTATTGTTTTGTAACTTTCCAGACTATTGTTGTGACCTTGACTGTATATTCATAATACAAAGCAAGCACATGCAATATCAATAAACCCAATGCAGACTCCTTTTCATGATTTATTGTTGCTGGTCAGCGGACGTGGTCCGGGCAATTTCACCTTGGCTGCCATCATTCTCGTGCTCCATTAAATCTTTGGCGACACATTCAATGAGCCCCATAACGTGTGCCCTAATACCTTGTACCCCCTCCGCCTGCC